GGAATATTCTTAATTAGTTTATTTTAGAAATTATAATAATCAATTAATAGCAAAAATGAATGATCAATTTCTCAATTGTAGATTATGCTCTATAGAGTTCGATTAAGTCATCCATTTACCAAGGTTGTTAAATGAATGTGGACACACCGTCTGTGAAAAGTGTATAAAATAATAAGAAGGACATTTCAGATGTCCTGCAGATGAGTAATGTTCATTTTTACCATTCCAGAACACTTTATGAATATTCGATCGATGGCTTTCCTATCAATACAACCTTATTTAAATTGATCTAATTAAAATAAAAGCCAAAATTGAATGATCTTTTTGAAACCCCATAGCTAAGTCTATACAAAGATAATTCATCTTCGGATTCTACAATTTCTAAAAATAAATTTTAAGATTCTTAACTAACACCTATCTCTTTATAAAATACAATATCTGATAGCTAAAAATAAAGAGATGAGTTGTTATAGAAAATTGAAAATAAATTTAATGATCTAATAACAAGATTAGAAATCCGAAAAATGGAGTTATTAAGTCAAATAGATATAAAATATGAATAATCTCCATTTTGTTTATTACAGGTTGACTTTTAATTTTAAATGGATGTTCTTGTTCCAAGATATGGTATCTTAAGAGAAGAATTATATAGTGATATTCAACTAAACAATTCTCAATAGAAGGAATAATTTCTAACCTTTTCAAATAAAGATTCTATTGATACAAATAGATAAAGATCACCATCAAAAAAAATATTTGAAGAATTGAAATAAATCTACATTCGTCCAGCATTATCATAAGAAAAAATGAATGAATTAAGAAAAATCATTAAAGCTATGGATAGATCAGAAAATCTTGAAATAATTAACTTAAAATCAAGAAATTTAATAGATGATGATATTAAAATATTTTCTGAAGCATTAACAAGAACAATTTCAAATATAAGAGTAATAGTGTTATCAAGAAATTAAATTACAGATAAAGGATTTTAATATCTTGTTGATGCATTATGGACAAATAAAACAATCAAAACATTAAGATTAAAAAATAATAAATTAACAAATGAATCTTTAAAATATTTAATCGAAATTTATGAAGATTAGAAGTATAATTCTTTATAACAAATTTATATATAAGGGAATTAAATTAATAATGATGACTAAGTGCAAATTTTGACAAAATTGGGTTTATTAATATATAAATGATATTAAAGTATTATAAAGGTATGATTTTTTTTCTAAATTTTAATAAAGAATTTCATATAATTAATTTATTAATTTAATAATTGCATGGGAAAACTACACGGAACATTAGCAAAAGCTGGTAAAGTCAGAAAGTAAACACCTAAAATTGAGAAATAAGTAAGAAGACACAAAATTCCAAAAGGTAGAGCCTATAAAAGAATATGTTTTAATAGAAGGTAATATAATAGTGGATATAATCTAATAGATTTGGATCAGCCACAACATCTGCTTAAGGACCATAATAAAGGAAAAAGGGTCCAAATTGGCATGCTGGAAGAAAAGATCTTATTGAAGAGGAAAGGAAGAAGTAGGTTGAATAAAGAAGACAAAGAAAGAAATAGGATACTAAATGATCATTTACATGTCCTGAACATATAAAATATTCAAATTTCATTCTTTTATTTTTTTCAATATTATTTATTAAAGAATATATTAATAAATAAGAATATTGATAATTAAAACACATTTTACTAGATTCTAGAATCAATTCTATAAGTAATTGAATGATAAATTTAAGAAGAAAATAATAAACTAAAAGATGTGTGAATTATTGTTGAATATATAATAATGTAAAATAATAAAGAATATGGAATTGTTTAATTGTTTGTATACTTTGTTATTTATAACTCATTAGATAAGATCGACATACTCTTATCTTAAGTTTTCTGTGAATTTTTAAGTAAATCCAAAAGTATGTTGATGGACTTATTTTACTTCAGGAATTGTAAGCATATGTTTAATATATTTATGAAGATGTGGATAAGGAGCAAGATCAATATTTAACATGAATATTGTTGCTAATTCACAGATTGCACTAAAAAATTTATATAATTTTTTACCTTAAATCAGCTATAGTTGGTTCGGCAAATCCTAAGATGTATTGATGTTTTCCATTACCCAAGAAGATCTCTTCAAAGGCCTTAAGATACCAATCTAATTCTTTGAATCTTTCATCTTTATTTTCTGGAGCTGGTTTTCCAAAGAATTTTGGATAGAATACAAAATCTCTGGCTGTTAGTGTAATTTATCTTGTTCCTGTATGATGCCAATCAAGATATTAATCAAGTCTGGCTTATTCAACAATGTCAGATGGATAAAACTTTTCTAGTTTGAATTTCTTAGCTAAATATTTCAATATTGTATGTGATTCAAACAAGACAATATCTCCATCAACAATAGAAGGCACATTACCAGTTGGTGAAATTTTTCTATATTCTGGAGTATTTTGCTCTTGTTTCATCAAATCAATGTTATGCAAATCATGGGGGATTTTACCAAGTACTAATAATGCATGTACAGCTCTTGATGGTTATGAGATTGGATTGAAATATAATTAAATTGACATTTTATTAATGAATCATCTGACAATTATTTCAACTTAAATAATGATAAGAATTTCTTATATCCGAAAATAGATATTTATAAACAGAATGTATTTATAATATTATATTTAATTATAAAAATTTGTTTCAATTATTGAATATACATTAATAAAAACTTAAACAAAAACAATATTCTAAAAATGAATTAAATTCCATAATTTTATATACTAATTAATTTGAAGCTTAAAAATTTCTATATAATTCTTACAAAATTTATTTTATATTAAAATCTAAAAAAATATTCTTTAATATGAGATAATTAATTGGCTAAAATTTTAGTTATTCAAGTTTGGGCAAGGATTTAAATCAATTATTAATCTTTAAATATACATTTTATAATTCAATTTAATCTAAGAAACTACCTCTATATGAAATATAATTTAATCAATTCATTTTAACATATAAACTTTAATATTTTCGTTATTTTTTTCACAAATGGATAATTAAGCAAAATTTATATGTCTTTATAATTGACCTGATCAAAAAATTATGTTTTTAAAATTTTAAGTTTAGCTCAACATAAAGCATGTTTTAATTTCAACATTATTTCATGACTAATTGATTATATACTATTAATTTTTATTATTAATTAAAGTAGAAAGTTTTTCAGTTTATTATTTTCTAATTCTCAAATAAACACTTATAAATGGAAGATATAAATAAAATTTTTCTTTATTTAGTATTATTTTATGGTTAGTCTGTTGTAAATGAGTCTTATTAAATAAAGGTCTTTCTTAATTAGATCATATATGTAGATGTTGTTGATGAATCCTTGAAGAAGGATAACAAATTATTAATTAATAAGCCATTATACCATTAATAAAAATATAAAATATCCAAAGATTTAAGAAAATGAAACTAGGTTTATAGTTTGCAAAAACAGGATGTAAGATTTATATTTAATTTAAACTATTTAAATTAATTAAAATTTAACATTAAAATCAAAAATAATAATCTCCATAGCAATATGTTGTTAATAGAATTTTAATTTATCACTATATATTAAAATCAAAAATTTAATTCTCTTAATTTTTTTCCTCAATATAAAAAGTATTTTATTCTATTTAGTTTTAACATCATTTGTATCATTTTATTTTATCATTCAAGATAAATAAGCAAACATTTTGAAGATTAATATTGATAAAACTAAATTATCAATAGTATTTAATAACAAAATGAATATCAAACCATCTTTCTGAAATGAATAGAAAGTGAAAATGTTACTTAATAGATTTAGATAATTTTTATATTAAAATCAAATAAAATATTCTTTTTATTTTTTTTTATGAAAATATATTTTCTTTCTTTTTTTATCAGTAATTAATGTATATTTTTAATAGCATAAAAGTACACTAAAAGAAAATAAATTGATCTAATCCTAAATCCTCCTTTATCTCAACACCCTAATAGATTTTATTAAAATGAATAATATGAATAGTAAAAAAAAATTAGATATTCAAATCTAAAAATATATTCTTAAAACAAATTAAAAGTAATAGAAATCATAACAATATAATCCAAAATTTTATTCTTTCATACATAAAGAATACTTTTTTATAATTAATTTATTCAATATTTTGATATAATTTCAATTTAAATAAATTTTTTTACTTAATATAGATATTTATACCAATTGTTTAATTAAGTCTTTCAATGGAACATTTTTAATCAATACGCAGACTCCTTGGTTACTTAAACTAAGACAAAATGAGATTTATAACATATAATTTTTCAGTTTTCGAAATTTATCAAAAGGAGTTAGTAAAGAAAAATTGATTTACAATTCAAAAGTTAAAATAACCCAAAAAATTCATATTAATACAAAGTGGAGGAAAATTAAAAAATAAATAATTGCTTTATAAGAATTCAGAACTTTCCTCAAATCTTGATATTCAAATATTCTTTTCATCTATCAATTTGAAAATGATAAATGAATCGTTCTACAATAATTAAATATCATCGCTTATAATTATTAAGTTGAAATTAATTCTTAAATTGTTATTTCATTAAATAAATTTCATTTTAAATTTCCATCCAAAAGAAAAAAAAGGAGAGTATATTATATTATTAGTCTATTCATTAATTATTTCTAATAAACAATCCTTTATAAAGTTATTATATTCTTATTAGCAAATCTTTTATTAGTTTTAGAGAACTACTCTTAATTTTATTTGAATTAGTTTACTCTTAAATTATAATTAAAGTTTTAGCACTAATTTACATAAAACTTATCTTATTAGGGATAACTTATTTAATTTCTAAATATTCTTGTTAGGTCTTAAAATATAAGAATTGAATCATGATAATTAATATTAATATAAGAGGATAAAAAAAGAAACAAAAATAAAGAAAATAAAAAAGTAACAACACCTAGTCATTATATTTTTCCATACTATTGCCTTAAAAAATCTGTCTAGTATTTAGTAATTACTATATGTTTTTTAGTATTTTTATTGAGTGGTTTCGAAGTTTAATTTTGATTAGTGGATTTAAAGGGTTATGATAAATACTTTTCGGGTATGTTCATATACTTCATTCTCACTTAATTATTCTAAAAATTTTACTTTATTCTACAATTTTTCTTAATTCACTAATTTCTATTAAATAATCATCTTCATTTTCAATAATAATTTTTCTAGGACTATCAAGTTAATTTTCTTCTTCAATTTATTCTTCAATAGCTGAGAGGATTAAATTAAGTAATTTACGTGATTATGGAAAATATAATGCTGTTTTCTCATATCTAGGAGATATCACTATTTCTGTTTATTAAGATATCAATTATTTATATGCTAGAATTAAATCTGAAGCCACTTTTGATATATTTGGACCGTCTTTCTTCATCGTTAAATTCTAATATAATAATTTTAATTAATATGATTCCTGAATAATAATAAGGAATAACACAAGAAGAGAAAGAACTCATTCTAATTGAAGAATTATCTTAAAAATTGGAAGGTTTATATAAAGACATGGAATAAATAAGAAGAGAAATCATTTTTGGACCTTTTTGGGCAACCTCATTCAGACCATTATAGCAAGGCCATAGAATCAGGAGATTTTGTTTTACACCTTTTAGAAATTAAAGAAAAAAAATAATCTTGAATTGCCTTTTCTAAGGGTATATAATATCTTCCTCAAATAATAGTTACACATTATTCTACACTTTTATAGTTATACCAGACGAATAGAAGTTTGATTTAACACCTTAAACTAAATGATAAGATGACTTATTTTGACATTGGCAATAGTTGCTGTTAGAAAGTTATAATAACACATTTTTTAGTAACTGCCTTTTTTTTGAAAATAAATAATCATATTAAAATTTGAACATAATGATATTTATTAAATAAATGATCACTCTAAACTTCAAGATAATTACTTTTGATATTAATTTTTTTAATTTTGGAAAATTTCTTCACATAAATTCTAAATTTCTGTAATCATTTTATCATAATAATATGAGTATGATTCTAAACTAGTTTTTAGGTTAGCATCCTAATTTTTTTCGCTTATTCCTAAGCCATCAATAGAAATCTTTGCAAATACCTTCAGAAGCTGAGCAATTTCTATTTTACTTTTAATAATGATTGCAAAATGAAGATGTTATTGTTAAAGATTTTTTAACTCTTATTCCTTTTTCAAAATATGTTCTTATTCAGTCTTAATCACATTTTTATTAAATACTATAAATTATTAAGCTAACTCTATTTCTCCTTTAGAATTTGATATAAATGCTGTTAGAGAACTGACCCTATCTTTAATTTGCTCCAAACCTTTTTCTTTTTTAACTTCTGAAATTATTTTTTCTTTTTGCATTATTTGTTACCCTTTTAAATGAATATCTTCTTAAATATCTTTGTTTTCTTTTGTTAGTTCTTTTATATCCTCACGCTTTCGAATTATTGTATTTTTTTTAGAATCTATCTCACCCAACTTATTGAGGATAGTTCCTTCATTTAGATCCATATTTGGCAAATCATGAGTGATTTTAAACCAAGGTAAGGTTCTTCCTTTTTACCAATTAGTTCTGATAGAATAGACCATTTTTTTTCTATCAGGTTAAGCTTTCCCACCTTTTTCAAAGCTCCAAAATTCACCTTCTATTATTGCTTTGTATTTTTAACCATCTATAATAATTTCTTAATTATACATTTACTCACACTAGTTCGTTAAACCTTTTGGAACGATATAGAAATCTTTTTCTAGATAAACAAGAGTTAATAGTTTACCTGTATATTCACTAGTTTTCACTTTTTATTTATTCCCTTGCCCCTCAAAGCGAGAAACAGAATCAAAAGCTTAATTGTATAATTTTATATTATCATCTCCACTAAAGAATTCCATCTCTTCTTCTAACTTTTTGTACTCATATAATACTTTATGAGAGTTTCCTGTTTATAAATTCTTAATTTCTTAATCTAATTAATTTATCTCATTTTAAATAATTGAAATTTTGTCTTTTAAAGATTAAATTTCCTTTTAGTTTTTATTTAACTTATCATTTTTTTTCCCTAATTCCTTAGCAATATTTTCCTTCTCATCCTAAGCATCCTTTAAAATATTACTTGAAAAGTTAGAAAATTTATTATTGTTTTCTAATTCCTTAATAATTTAGGATTAGTCTCCAGATTATATTAGCTAATTAAGTTTTTTAATTTAAGTTTCTGCTTCTTTAATCTTTTAATGTGTTTAAAATATCAAATCATTTTTTTAATTATTTTCTTTTTCTTTTTCCTTAATACTGTTTATTTTGTTGAGAATCTATCCTTCAGCTTCTTTAATTTGATTAGGAATATCTTGAAAAAAATTTTCAAAAATTTCTCTTTACCAGGTATCTATCTAAAGTACAATATACTTGCTGAAGGCGATTTGAATATCCATCCTATCCATTGCTTTACAAAAGTATTTTTTATCAATGCAAGGCTGGTTTATGATTAGTTCTAATTGCTCCTCTGCCATCAATTAGTTCTTGATAGAATAACTTAATATTTTTTATTTTTGTATCAAGTACAGAACAAATTTCCAAATTTAAATTCTTTCTTCGAGTTTAAATGCTTCATAATATGATTAACTTTTTTTCTCAAGAATATTTTGATCTGTCTTATAGATATCATTTATTAATTACATCAAATGATCATTTAATTCAGTTAGGTTTGTTTTTGTCAATAAAATAAAAACACTATCTCTGGCTGAATTTTTTATAAAAATATTTGGAATTAATTGTTATAAATTTAGAAATAGTTACACAATTCCTTGACATCTATTTACAAAAAAGGTTTCGTATGAAATTGTCAACACTATAGACTTTATTGATTTGCAGTTTGTTATGGTTTAATCAATACTAAGCATTGTATTTAAATCATATAAATCCCCTCTTGTATCATCAAATCCAGGGCAATCACATAACATTAAATTATCAACATCTTATACTTTGTAACCCTAAATAAACGTTGTTTCTGAAACCGCCAATGAATGGCCAATTTTTGCAAATTAATCTTGAGATAAATTTTTTTCATCTGTTAATTTAAGAAATTTTTTTCCATATTTTTCATATTCATCTAATTCATGTCCCAAATAATAATTGATAGATGTACTTTTGCCAGATCCAGTTGCACCTAAAAATATTATTATATCCTTATTTTTGATATTTTCTGTATGTTTAAATGATTGTTTTAATAGGTCCATTACTTTTATACATTAAAGGGTATCTCCTTTCTGTATTAAATTTGTATAATGTGCTTCTAACACTATATTGTTTAAAATTGATTCTTAACTCTCTTCTAAATTCAGTTGTTTATTTAATTGCTAAATTTTATCCATATTCTCTGTAATAACTTTTAAGACAATATTTGTTTTAAACTCAAAATTATTAAGAACTAAATCTATTAATATTTAATCTAATTAAGGTTTGTTCTTTTATTATTTTAATTCCCAAAAAATATCGTCTTTGCATTTGAGAATCTCTTCATATTTTTTTTATTTTATTTTATTTTCATCATATATCACCTCTTATATTTTTATATTTTCCACTGCATTATTTTGGTTTATTGCATCTAATTTTTTTTTTCCTGAAAAGTAAAAACAAACAATTGAGTTGAGTTCTATGGGGGATAGCTCAATCTCAGGTTTTTATCCAAAATGAATCTCTTAAATTTTCGAGTAATCATTATCTTAATAACGGATATCAATTATATATTTGAGAGTATCCTTACATTTTTATAAGAAGTATTCAGCTTTATATTATCCTTATCCTGTAAATCCACATTATTTGAATTCACCAAAACTTAAAGTATAAATCCCAAATTCAATTTGAATTTTATTTTTACCAAAGTTTTGTTTTTGTTCAAAAAATTCTATATAACCAGGAAGTGTAGAATTTTTTTGCCTTAAATTTTAAATTAATTCCAATAATTTTACTCTTTTTTTTTAAGTAGTGTAAACCCCTTAAATTTAATCTTATTTATAATTTATTTCTATGAAAGAACCATCCTCTAAAGTAAATTTCAAAAATGACCCATTTTTCTCTTGATATTTTTCGCACATAGTAATTTCAGAGTAAATCGATTCAAATCCTTTCGGATTATTTAATTAGAGAAATTTTCCTTTAAAGAAATTCTCATCTTTCGATAATAATTATATAATTGTTTATTCATTACTTTTTTGTCTATATTTGTAAATTAATTCTATAATGCTTTCTAACTTATAAGTTTTTTTAATTTTTTATAATCTGTTGTCTAAATCATCAACTCCATTTTTATTTAATTTGGCTAATAACAGATTATATATTTAGATATTTGGAGTATTTTTATCTTCTAATATCGTATTTATAATTAATTCTCTAGGCAGCAAAACCTTTTCACTCTCTGTTAATTAAGAGAACAAAATATCAATGTAATTTTGCTTCATTGTTAACTATAATAATATTTTTAAAGAAACAGAAATTAATAATTTTTGATAAATAAATATTATTTTATGAAGCTAATATTAATAGAATTGTGGGATTTATTGATTAAATACTATAAATAGGAGAGTTCTTTGAAAGAACAACAATATGCAATAGGTAAACTAAAATAACTCTTTAATAATACTTTATAGAGAGAGTGATATCTAGGTTAAGATATCAATTATTTATAAGCTATAATTAAATCTGAAGCCACTTTTGATATATTTGGACCGTCTTTCTTCATCGTTAAATTCTAATATAATAATTTTAATTAATATGATTCCTGAATAATAATAGGGAATAACACAAGAAGAGAAAGAACTCATTTTAGTTGAAGAATTATCTTAAAAATTGGAAGGTTTATATAAAGACATGGAATAAATAAGAAGAGAAAATCTTTTATTTGAATCATATATAATGCGAAACTCCAAAGATTTACAGAGAGAAGATGAAGCAGAGGATAAAAGATAGAAAACAAAAAAGAAAAATTAAGCAGTTGATAAAAAAGTAAATTATATTTAGATTGTATTAGACAATGTAATTGACAAATGAAGAGAAATATGAGATTGCTCAATTTGAGAGTGATACATTAAAAAAGAACATTGAAGAAGGCAGAATTAGATCAGATTAAATATTAGAAACATTAAGAGTATTAGATTATTAAAAAGTATTTAGGCAATTTTAGAAGAAACAGATAAAGCAATTACTGAAATTAGAAAGGATGCATTTGATTTTTAAAGAGAAATATTATTTGCTGGTGAAAATACAAGAACTGGTAAAATAGAAGCAGAAAGAATAGATAAGTATTTTAAAGAGAAATTAGTTTAAAAAGTATGAAAAATTAATTGTAATATAAATTAGGATGCATAAATAGAAAAATACAAATAAAAAAAAGCTAATATTGAATAATAAATTACTAAAACTAACAATTAAATTTAAAAGAAAGAAGAAATGGGTGATGATTTAAAGTTTATTGATTTTCATCAATTATAAATTGAAAATAAAAAATATGTTAAATAAATAGATGAAAAAAATAAAAAATTACTTGGATTAAAAATAGCTACTGGTAGAATATCTTCTGTTTTAATTGATGAAAAAAATTAACTTTAAACTGAAATTGATTAATGTAATAAACTTATATTAGAAATTAATGATAAAAATAAAAAAACAGCTAAAACTTAAGAATAAACAAAAAAAGTCAAAGTTTAGATTACATCATTAACAGAAAAAAAGAAAAAATTTGCAATACAATTAGAATAAGTAAATAATGCTACTAATGAAGATATTCCTAAAGTAAATATTTATATAATTAATATTTAGTCAATGACTTATGTATTATAGAAACAAAAAGAAGAAGAATTAGTATATAAAATTAGAAATACTAATCGTAAAATAGAAATAGCAGAATTAGCTTATCAAAAAGCATGTAAGACATTAGGAATTAATACAAAAAAATAATGAAGCAAGAATAATTTTAAATTAAAAAGTACAAGAGTTTATCTAATAATTATTTATTACTTTTAAAGACATACCCAATATTTAAAACATTTCCAAAGAATCATTGCCAAATTATATAATCATCAATTCTATTTTCCATAAAATTATTAGATCAATTTTATTCATTTTTAGGAAATTAGCATGATTACTTAAATTTCTATGATTAAAAAGGTTACCATCTTTATTCATATAATTAAAATCTTTACTTATTTCAAACAAATTAATAATAATAATAATCTTTATTGTTATATTAATAATGAATTGAATTCATTAAACTTTAATATATGAAAACATTGGATATATAATTAAAGTTTAAATAACTTTTGATCATCATAGTATTTAAAATTAATATTAAAACTCAGAGTTTACTAAAGGAGAAATTATTAGGAACAATAATAAAAATAATTTAATTAATGATGAATAGAAATATTTTATTATTAATGTGGGTTTAGATTTCAATTATAGAAGAATAAAAGGCAAACTATCAAAAGTATGATAATTATTAAACAAAATAAATAAATTTGAAATATTAATATTATTTATTTTTTTCATAATTTCTCAAATATAACCTTCAAGAATCTCATAATTGTAATTTAATAAATATTATTATAATTTCTTTGTATGATGAAAAAATTATTACCTTTAGCATTATTTACTAGCTACAATAAAAGCTTTATAAAAAATGTGAAATTAGAAATTCTTAATGGAGTTTAAGATGATTATTAATGTTTCTAAATTGAAAAAGGTCATTACTTGAATCAATTTTTAAATAATATTGAATAGTTTACTACAAATATAATAGAAACAATAAAAGATTGTAAATCTAAATAAATGAAAGCTATTTGGATTCAATTAGATTCAAATTAATTAGCACTTGCTGAGAAATTAATTGAATAAGGATTTTAAATGCATCATTGTACATAAAATTATTTATTATTTTCACAATGGATTATTGAAAATGAGAAAAGCAGATTACCAAATTATACTACTCATTCAGTTGGTGCTGGAGGTTTAATTATTCATAACAATTAAATATTATTAATATAAGAAAAAAATGGAACAAAAGAAGGACTATGGGGTATACCCGGGGGATTAGTTGATGATGGAGAATTAGTTGCAGAAGCAGCAAGTAGAGAAGTAAAAGAAGAAACAGGTTTGGATGTTGAACCATATGATTGTTTTTTCTTTAGAGATTTACCAATAGCTAATTAATATTAAGGTGATATTTATTTTGTAATTTTCATGAGATTGAAGAATTAATAATAAAAAGTATAGATTTAAGATTAGGAAATAAAGAATTATCAATGGGTTGAAATTAATAAACTTTAAGAAGTATATAAGTGATGACATTTAATTAGTTTTTAATTTAGAACAAGTTTGGAATTACTTAATAAAGATTAATGGAATCTATTGTCCAGTATTAAAAATCTAATCGTTTTGGCACACAACTTTGTAATATGGATATGAAACCAAGAGTTATGTATGGAAAAGAGAAAAAATATTGTTTATTTAAGCCTAATTTATGATAATATTAATAATATAAATATAAATGAAATTTACAAAATATCTCCTTAGAATATTAATTCCTGAATGGGTTAAGTTTTATGTTAATTTTAAATTGTTAAAAACATATTTATCTATAATGACAATACTGAAGACCTTTTTACTAGAAGTAAAGTAATAAAAGCAAAGAGATGAATATCTAAATATTAAATAGGATGTTTTGTAAGATTGTGATCTAATCGATAAATTGAGAAGAGATTCAGTAAAGTTTATTGAAATTTTAGAGTATGAGATAAGAAAAACAATATCCTTCTCTAAATTTAGATACATAGATGTAATAAAGAAATATGATAAATTAAAAGAATAAATTATAGGGATGTAGTAAGAATGGATTTCATTACCAAAATTATTTAATTAACCTACACTAGCAATAACATGGAACTTAAAATCAATGACAGAAGCAGAAAAACATTAATTAAAGTTAATTAAATAAAATAAGCCTAAACATAAAGAATACAGAAGAAAATGTGAGGAATTATTAGATAGTATGTTTAGATTCTATGTTGAAGTATAATAGTTATAATCATTCTTAAATATAAATTATGAAGCTACTAGAAAAATAATAAAAAAATTTAAAAAATAAGAGATCAGAGGAATAATGGATGTAAATGAAAACATTTTTTTAAAAGTTAATGAATTTTAAAATGAAATTCATGAATTACCTAAAAGATTAAAAATGATAAAGGACGAAACAGAATCAATAATTATTTAAAATTTCTATAAACATGATAAGTAAAAATTATTATAAAATTTATAGTCCAAAAAAGTGTAGAGAATTTTTGAGAAGATATACAGAACAAAATTAATTATCAAATGAAAGTATATTTTATTTTGGATTTTTTGCTGGATTTGCTGCTTTAATGATTATAATTCTTTTATTAATGAGATATGATGGATATTTAGATCCAAACTCTGATAAAGTTTTTAATAAAGTTTTTCCTTGTTTTAGAGGAGTTGCATTATTTATATTTTACTTTTGGATGATATCTCTTGATGTAGCAGGATGGAATTACTTTAATGTTAATTATAAGCTATATTTGGGATTCAATCATCATTATTCAACATTATCTGAAATATTAAAAAGAGTTACTATTTTTAGTACAATTTATTTATTAACATTCATAATTTATTGTGTTTAAGAAGAAGATATTGGAAAATTAGCTTAAGAATTATAAGTTTTTGATGTAAGACTATATCCTCTAATAATATGGGTATGCTTATTGATATATGTTTTTTATCCATTTAAAAAGATCTTTAATCCAGAAGGAAAGAAATATATGTTCAAAATGTTTTATGGAATGATATGGGGATTTATATTTAATTATGAATCAAGATATACATTTATGGCAGATTAATTTGCATCATTCACTACTCCAATCAGAGATTTAGACTATACAATCTGTTATTATTATTATATTGTAAATTATCATTTCATTTTAGATATTCAAAGGTTATGAACATGATGGATAATGTGAACCTAGGACAAGATTTACTAGTGCACTTCCAGCAACAGTTCCTTATTTAATTAAATGTGCTCACTATATAGTTAGAGCAAGAGTTAAAGGTAAATTATTTGGAACAGATGAATGGTATAACTTTTTAAAGACTGCAAATGCTGCATAAGTTGGAGTATGGTCATTTTTGGCTAGAAGAAATCCTGATGTTACTGAATTTAGAATCATTTGGATAATTGTAGCTATAATAAGTACATTTTGGTAATATTATTGGGATTTAGCTAAAGATTTTTTATTTTTTGAAAAAGATTCAAAATATAAATTCCTTAGAAATGATTTAGGATATAATAGTCCAACAATATATTATATTTTTGCTGGTGTAAATTTAATATTAAGATGTACTTGGGTTTTATCATTATCACCAGATATATGTAAATTATTTGGTATCAAAAATGAATTATTTATTTTATTGGTTGGATTTTTGGAAATGAGTAGAAGATTCCTTAACAATTTTTTAAAAGTTGAAAAAGAACATATTGTTAATTTACGTTCATTAAAAGTTGTCTAAGATCTAAAGTATCCATTTTAAGTTCATAAGGAATTAGTTGAATTTAATAATCGTGATCATTGGTCTGTTTCCTCATTTTTGCAACCTAATTCAGGATTTCAATCTTTAAAAGATGAAGTAGAATTTGAAAATAGGCCAAGTTTTGTTTAATTATTCTAAGGACTAACTTAATAGATTGATTAAGCAAGATAACCACCTCAAATTAGTATTAATGAATAAAGTTTTTCATAACATACATAAAATATTAATAAACTTTCAAATGTTAAATAAACAATAAAAAAGTCTGAAAGCAAATAAGAAATTTATTTAGAGTATCAATAAAGAGAATCAAAATATTCAAATGGAACATAATTTTTAAAGATACCTCTTATTAAGAATGTTAGTTAACTTAATTTTCAATCTGCTTAATCTTCTTATAATGATAATTTATCAGATGGTGAAGATAAAAATAATGATGATTAAAAGAGAGATACCTTACATGATATTAGATTAATGACAGAAGAAAATTAAATAATTGAAAAAGGTAAAAAGAAAGAAAGTTTAGAGAGATAATGGATTAAAGAGTTAAAATAAGAAAATAAAAAATATAAAAAATTAATTTATAAAAGATATGAAATATTTAGAGTGTAAAAAACAACTGAATGAAATGAATTATTTAAGATATTATTTATAATATATTCTAGATGATCTTTTATTCATAAATAAATGATAATTGTTAATTAATATCAAATTTAGAATGAGTAATGTTTTCTTTAATTTAATGATTCTTCATTATTATTAGGTTTAAAAACTACTCTACTAGTTAATATTTAATTAGGTTAAATGGCATATATCTAATCTAAATCAATAAATTTTTGTGGTTTCTTATTTCTTATTATGTTATTATTACTTTAGGGTATGACGATAACATCTTGGTGACGTTTTTTAATTTTTGATTTAATAAATTAAACTTCATCATAAGCATGACTCATATCTAAAGAATTAGGAGTTAAGAGATTATGTAAATCATATATATTCTGATATTCTGGCCATTCTGTATTGAATATTTTATTCTATTTAACTTCTGATTTTTATTTTGTATTTTAAATCTAAATTGTATTTTTTTATTATTAACTTTTTGTTAATCTCCTTTTTGATAATACTGAATTAAACTTATATGATCTTAAGACTTTGTTATTTATTGCTATTTAATTCTTATTGAATTCATTTATTTGATATTGTTCATTAAATTTGATTAATTTATTGCATAACTTTTAACAATCAACATTTTATTATAATGGAATCCTACATTTTAATTTATTTGAATATTCATTTTCTATATTTCCTCCTTATAAAATTTAATGAATTTTAGTTTAAATATCTTTAACTAATTTGTTATCATCCTAAATTGAATTAGAAGTAGTATATTATGATTAGGTTATAATTGTAGTATTAAAAGAAACCTTTTTATTGGTATCCATTTTGAACTGTTAAAGTATATGAAAGAAAAATAAAATTAAGTTGTTATATATAATTTTATTATATAATTAATAAACAAATTCACATAGTATCATGTTGATGGTATTCAAAAGTTGGAAGTTAATCAACAGTAGGTTCATCAATTGGACTAATTTCACCTGAAGAAGAATCCTATTGTAAATTATCAAATTTTAGATTTTGTATTTTATGATTAAATCTTGGAGATGCTGCATTAGAATCACAATTATTTAAGCAAGTCATTTAAGATTCATTTCTTTCCAATATAGGTGCTAGAGTAAATCTTGAAGGTTTTTTTGGCTTATTCATATGTTATTAAGTAGTTGGACTTGTTGGAGCAGATGAATTAACTTTACAAGGTTCATTTTTATTATTAATCATCATTAAAGATTCAAAAGTACCTGTTTTATCTCTAAGTGAAATTTCTGAAGTGGCTGTTTATTCAATAAGAGATTTGAATACTTCTGACCAATCAAAATTATAATCTTATTCTTATCTACCTAGATATTAAATAAAGGGTTATTTTAGAATTTCATAATTAGGAATTTCTTTAAATCCCAATTTAAATACATTTTAAAAGAATTACAAAAATGGTTCTGGATATTATTTCAATTCTTTTTCTGGTAGAAATTATCTTTTGAATTCCATATAAAATTTATCTCTGATATTTTAATCCTTTGTTTAACATTTATTTGGTAATTTCCCTTAACTTAATAAATATAATAAAAGATAACCAAGAGATTCTAAATCATCTCGTGGAGATGGTACTAATTTATTAAATTATATAATGTACTTTATTGTAGATGTTATCCAATACTACTAAATTTATTCGTTTTTATATGAATTATTTTTGCCTTATTTGATATTTTACCTTCTTTATTAAGAAACTCTATATGTTCATCAAAGTTAGTGAGTAATAAATTTGAATGGTTCGTTGTCATTATACAAGATAATCTTAAATTTCTATGTAAAATGTTTAAATTATGAATTTACTATAAATTAGTAATCTTCATGCTGATTTTTAAAATATAATTACCATTTTAAGTGCTACCAACATGATAGTTTTCAGAGAAAATTTATATTTCATCAATTTAAAGCATAATTTCAAAGAAGGTCCACTCTTTTACCATGCAATGTAATGATAAGTAATGTCTTAAACTATTATAGTTCCCATCTTATAAATCCTTGGTATTGGAATGAATCTTGACATTCTGTTATGATGATCATTAGATTTGTCTCTACAATCAATCACTATATTTTAATAATATAACAATATTACATTATTCCAATCGTTTAAATAATTTACAAATACATAATGAATCAGTTATCTAATAATGATATTTACTTCATAATACTATTTATATTAATATCTATTTTTATTCCTGTTATATATCTACAGCATTATAAAAGTTAGAATGACGTCCTTGATAATGTAGGGTAGCAAGTAGATATCTATTATCAATAACAACTGGATGATCCTTATTCATATGTATATATAATATATTTAATTAAATACAATAAACTTACAATTTTCTAATTAGATTAAAAATTTTAACTTTTAAATAGTATATTTTAATATAGAAGCTGATAATAATATAAATCAATTTATAAAAACTAAATAAAAACATTTATAGGTAATTTCATTTTAGATCATATCTAATCTCTTAATTTCAATTACAAAATTAATTAAAAAAACTATTTATAATAAATAGCATAAAATTATACTTTTTATATATTAATACATTATTAGATTACTTTAACTATATATGGTATATGAATTTATTATTAATATTTTGTTATAATTATTTAGCTCAAAATATTTATGTATTTATATAAATACAATATTTCATAAGAAATAAGGAAGAACATTCTTTGGATTAATACTTTTACCACTTTCTGGAACCTCTCTGAATGTTTTCCAAGTAGATTATAAAGAATTGTCCAAACAAAGAATTGAAGCAATATTTCCACATCTATAACAATAATTTGGAGCTGACCATACAGTAACCAAATTTTAATCCTTCTATTAATTATTAATAATTACAGGGAACCAATATTTATATCCTTCCATTACTAATTAATGAGCTCTACAAATTAAACTAAGATCATTCAATCTACAAAATTCTTTTGTTACTTTTGCTCCAAATAAGTATCCTGCTCCTCTTGAATTTACAGCCCAGTATTCAACTTCTTCTGGATCTGACCACATTAAATCACAAAATGGACCTTCATGAGGAATTTCAATCTTAAATATAGATTATTAATTAACTTTTCTATCAATTGTTCTTATTTGATCCACTGTTCTCATATCTGGAGACAAACCTCCATGAACACATAATATTTAACCCTCAATTAAGGCAGCTAATGGTAAACAATCAAAAACATCCATAAATAATCTCCATGGACTACTATTTCCATACTTTCTCAATATTTCTTCATAAAATCCATATACTTAAGTGCATTGTCTTGATTCATGATTTCCTCTAAGAAGAACTATATTTCCTGGATATTTTACTATTAATCAATATAATATTATTCTTACCTTTCAAACATAGTAAATATTCCATTGTTTCAACACTATTATATCCTCTGTCAACAAAATCTCCAATAAAAATGTAATTGTGTTAAGGGATATCACCTCCTTCTTTAATTAAAGCTTATAAATCATAAAACTGACCTGTAAAAGTAAATGTATTCTTTACCATGAATGTCTCCACAAACATTAACAGGTGCTCTTACAGGTTAAACATTTGATTCTTCAAGAAAGATTTCCTTAGCTCGTTCACAGATAAGTTTAAGATCTCTTTCTGGAAGACATCCTCCTGAAAGAAGTGATGATATATGTCGATCGATATCCATTAATAATTAAAGATTTTACTTATTTTATGTAATAAAAATTTAAGTCAAACCTTTAAAATATAATTACCGAATGTGAATAACTTAAGGATTAAAATGCTAGTTTTAATTTGGAAATATCCAACTTTACAACTAAATATAGAATAAGATTTAGCAATATTATAAAAAGAGCTTAAACAGAGGAATCTAAGAAAATGCAAGAAGAAAAATCATTGAAGTATGATTATCAATACTTTTCAGAATGAATATTAAATTACATAATTACCTTTGTAAATAAATTATTGATTCGACTCAATATAATTTGTAGAGGCCAAATAGGAAGGCCTAAAAATATAAGTTATAAGAAGAAACATTTTTTGATAGGAATCCGGTATTGTATCTCAAATAACAATTATAATAAGATAAATAAAGGAGTCTTAAATTATCATTATAAGCTAGACATTTTTCTATTCAATAACAAAAATTTGTATAAAAATTAGAAAACTATAAAGACTTTATAGGATTAAAATGAGTTTTTAGTATAAAATTTTATTAATTTTTCATTCAATAATCAAATATGTATGTTATATTATTATTTAATCTTAAAATAAGGTATTTTCATATAGAAATCTATATTGATATTTGTTATATTAATTCAAATTAGAATTTATTTAACCATCTATTACAATACAAATAGATTAGTTTTATTACTGCCTTTTTTAGTATTTAGACTAAGTTATAATTGAAATAGTTATTCAATTAAAAGAATTTATGAAATAATAATAAGAAATCTTAATTCATTATCAAAAAAAAATGATATATTTTAAAAATTTAATCTGATAAACTTAATTCGTCTTGATATAATAATTATAGGAGATTTAATATTTTTGATAGATCTGTTAACTTCAGTAATTACAGGATTAGGGCTAATATGTAAAGCATAAGATATAAATATAGAAACAGCTTGAATAAAGCGAAGAATATAATGAAATATACTTATTCATCAATATTTACATAATAATTATAAATTTGATATTTTATATGGCAATCAGTAAAGGAACATGAATAGATGTAAATTATTTGAATTATGCGATAACTTTTGATTTTTCAATACAAAAGTTGAACTTACTATGTTTATTGGCATGTTCATAAGAGTGAAGAATAAGATTNTAACAGGTGCTCTTACAGGTTAAACATTTGATTCTTCAAGAAAGATTTCCTTAGCTCGTTCACAGATAAGTTTAAGATCTCTTTCTGGAAGACATCCTCCTGAAAGAAGTGATGATATATGTCGATCGATATCCATTAATAATTAAAGATTTTACTTATTTTATGTAATAAAAATTTAAGTCAAACCTTTAAAATATAATTACCGAATGTGAATAACTTAAGGATTAAAATGCTAGTTTTAATTTGGAAATATCCAACTTTACAACTAAATATAGAATAAGATTTAGCAATATTATAAAAAGAGCTTAAACAGAGGAATCTAAGAAAATGCAAGAAGAAAAATCATTGAAGTATGATTATCAATACTTTTCAGAATGAATATTAAATTACATAATTACCTTTGTAAATAAATTATTGATTCGACTCAATATAATTTGTAGAGGCCAAATAGGAAGGCCTAAAAATATAAGTTATAAGAAGAAACATTTTTTGATAGGAATCCGGTATTGTATCTCAAATAACAATTATAATAAGATAAATAAAGGAGTCTTAAATTATCATTATAAGCTAGACATTTTTCTATTCAATAACAAAAATTTGTATAAAAATTAGAAAACTATAAAGACTTTATAGGATTAAAATGAGTTTTTAGTATAAAATTTTATTAATTTTTCATTCAATAATCAAATATGTATGTTATATTATTATTTAATCTTAAAATAAGGTATTTTCATATAGAAATCTATATTGATATTTGTTATATTAATTCAAATTAGAATTTATTTAACCATCTATTACAATACAAATAGATTAGTTTTATTACTGCCTTTTTTAGTATTTAGACTAAGTTATAATTGAAATAGTTATTCAATTAAAAGAATTTATGAAATAATAATAAGAAATCTTAATTCATTATCAAAAAAAAATGATATATTTTAAAAATTTAATCTGATAAACTTAATTCGTCTTGATATAATAATTATAGGAGATTTAATATTTTTGATAGATCTGTTAACTTCAGTAATTACAGGATTAGGGCTAATATGTAAAGCATAAGATATAAATATAGAAACAGCTTGAATAAAGCGAAGAATATAATGAAATATACTTATTCATCAATATTTACATAATAATTATAAATTTGATATTTTATATGGCAATCAGTAAAGGAACATGAATAGATGTAAATTATTTGAATTATGCGATAACTTTTGATTTTTCAATACAAAAGTTGAACTTACTATGTTTATTGGCATGTTCATAAGAGTGAAGAATAAGATTATATAAATAAAGAGAAATGCTAAAAAGTGTTAAAGATTTTAATATTTTGAGGCTAAGTTATTATATTACCAAAAATATAATTGAAATATTTATATTAAGATCTTTTGTATTGATATACTATTATTAAATCAGAAAATTAAATGAAATTATTATCTCACTTATTATTTAACTATAAATTTTAAGAAATCTTTGATCTTAAATAAATAATCTTTATATTTTATTCATTTGAAACTATGTGATGGTTTAATGTTAATTATTATTTTTTATAGTATTAAACTAAATTTTTGATGATTATTATCGATAATAATGATGATATTAAAGTTATAGCTTGATATTAATTAAAGTTATAGTTTTCTTCTTTACTGCATTTTAATGTATAAATTGAATTGAATCCAAAAAATATAAAAATATTAAATAATATATTATGAATTTATCTGAAGAAGATATTGAATAATGCTAAAGAGCGTTTAATGATTTAGATGATGTAACATTGCTAGTTTAATAAATTATATTAGAGAGGTGAAGGAGAAATCATGGTTGACGATTTAGAGATTGCCTTAGAAATGGTAGGATTAAAGTAGAAACCTCATAAAGTCCATAAATTAATAAGTGAGATTGATGATGGTAATCGTGGAAGAATCAAATTTAAAGAGTTTTTGAGTCTCTTTGCCAAACTTAAATATGCTGGGTTATAAGATGATGATTAAGATATGATTGATGCCTTTGTAGCAATGGGAGGAAATGAAGACACATCAGGAAATGTTGATGCAGAAAAGTTGATTCGAATAATAAAGAATGAATTTGAATTAACGATTGATATTGAAGGTTTAATTAAAGAAGTAGATACTGATGGATCAGGAGTAATAGAATTTGGAGAGTTCAAAGAACTATTAAAAACTAATTACTTGTAAGAAGATGAAAATGACTATCCATGATTTTATGCTATATGTTTAAATATATTGCTATAATTCTAAGCCTATAATTATAATTATTAAATATATTCATCTAAATCATTCAGAGATTGAATTATGTAGTTCTCATAATGAGGTTTATACATCTAATAAGAGAGTTCTTACAATTTAATTGTAATACTAATAAATTATCTATTTATGAATTATATTATACTATATTTATAATCATATCGTTATTAATTGAAAACTTAGCTAATTCATAATAAATAATTGTTAACATAAATGTACTTTAAATTTAGATGATGAAAGATTATAAGTTTGATTTTAATAAAATGATTATATTATATGTATTTCAAATTTCTCTTTCTTTCTATAACAATTAATAAAAATTAGAAGATATTTAGATTATTTTTTGATTATTCTATTCTAATATATTTACTTTATCAATTGAATTATAATTTCTGATATATACAAACAATAAGATTATCAATTTTAGCACTTGAACTTTTATTAATTATTATATCTTAAATCATTAAATAAATGAATTGTATTTTAATTCATAATATTATATATATTAACAAATTATACTCATAATATTATTCAAAATTTGATAATTCCATATTATTTTTTTATTATAATAAATGAGAACATAGATTTAAGTTATTAAAATAGATTAAAAATTATGTTTTTTTTTAAAAATTTGATCTAAACTAATTATTAATGTTAAATTTAATATTTAAAACGTAAACTAGAAATAAAGTCTTTAATCTAGATAATACTATTTTTTATAAGAAAATATAAATTTAAAAACCTTTATATAAGAATAATCCAGTTAATCAAATTGATACAACTTTCTTAATTAATTCATCTATAATTTCTATCCTTTATTTAATTGTTATTATTTTTTGTTTGAATGTAGTGAATTAATGAATAGATATTAAAATTTAATTATAATTATTTATGTCTATTTATCATAAGTTCATTTCTAGCATTTCTCTCTTTAATTTTTCAATTACCTTCTCAACCAATTAGACTAATGTTTCTTCTGTTTTTTCTCTTTCTCCCCTTGTTTTTCTTAATTATTCTTAAATTCTTCCTGATATTTCCCTCAAACTTTCTACAATTTCTTCTTCTTTTGCTTCTCTTTCTTTCTTTTCTCTAAATTATTTAATAAATATTTAACCTTTCAAATAATTCTCTTAGATCATTAAGTTATTCAACAAATTAATGATATATTTTTTCCTCTACATCTTTTCTTTCTGTAATTTCATTTTATAATTCATCTGCTATTTTTGGTAAATCTTCATTTAAATAAGAATCTATATATTCATGAGATGTTGATTAAGCCTATTATATTATTAAATATAATATTATTACTAGACCCTCTTTTATGACTTCTTATTATAAATTCTCAATTTATTGTCCAATTGAATATACTATTTTTTTCTCTTATTCTACTCTATCTTTAGAATTCTGCTCTATCAATCTTCTTGCATGTCTTTCTAAATCAGTTATCAATTTATAAGTTTCACTCTCTTATCTTTCACGACTATAGAAATATAAATGCAACTTTTACTCTTCTTATTCTTATTCTAAAAATTCAGTAATTTGTCTAACTTTTTATGCAATATAAACAAATTTTTCTTCTTTTTAATCAGATTGATGTTATAATTATGCTTCAAAAGCCATAATCAATTAACTTATAGCATGAAAACGATTATTTTTTCTATTATTTATTATTTGTAACTTACTCATCTTAAACACTAGTAGATATGTTGTTTAGCTTTTCAAAGATTGATGAAACTCTATTTTAGATATTCTCAGACATTAAATTAATAATAATTTTTATTTCTGTTTTATATAAATATATAAATATATAAATTTTATTTATGAAATAAACAATTATAAATTATAAATTAATTTTATCACATTAAATGATCATTAATATCAAAAGTATCACAATTCTTGTATTTTCGATGAATCTTTTAGTAATTTACATGTTTCTATTATAAAGGTTCTATTTAATTTAATTAAATATTTATATCTCTTTAACTATTATTACATTCTATAATACTAGAATCTTATAAATTCATTTAATTTAATTCTTATCTAGTTTATTCAAGTAATTATCTCAATTAATCAATATTATCATCAAAAGATAATTCATTTTTAGTAGTAAAACAAACCTTATCAAAATTTAATTTCTATTATACAAATTAATTTGGATGTTATTCTTCTATTTTCATAATATCTTTTTTAAATTATTCATATTTAGGTATATCATTTTTAGGAATCTCTGATTAATTTAAATTACTAAATTCATCCTTTTAAATACGAGAATTTATAAAATCATTTTCTTTATTTTGAAATTATAGATTTTATTATTTTGTATCTTAATTGAAATTCTCAATACTTTATTATTAACCTAAGCAATATTCTTCTTTAGGATAAAATTTATTTTATGTGTTATTTACAGAATAATTAGGAATTTCTGAATATATAGTTTTTGTATCAGTTAAAGCTGCATTACGAAAAGGATTCTCTTCTTTTAATTATGAAATTTAGACTTCTTAAGAATGTAATGTATTTTCAAGAAATGAAATTACATTATCTAAATTTTTCATACCATTAAATCCATAATTTTCTTAGTTTTATTATTTTTCTTCATTTATTTGATTTTATTTGATTGTTTATTTTTTTATCTCTTATTTGCTTTTATCAATTGATTTTTCTTATTATGCTTTTAATATTTTTTCTGGTTTCTTTAATCTTTAAGCCTATAAATAATATATATAATAAATTATACTTTTGCAACAAATGATTTTGTTTCCTCTAAATCTTACTTAATTTTATGAAGAAAGTTTGGATCCTAATTTTATTGTCCTCTTTCACTTTCTAATAATAACATTTTAGCTTATTCAAGAATATCTGGTTTAAATTAACTTTATGAATGGGCTCTTTCAGATTTTTCCCATTCAATCATTTATGTTAAATTTCTTCTTTTTGAAGTTGAATTATTTAAGCCCTTAGAATGCAAAGCAGTTAAATAAATCTATTTTAATCAAGAAAATTAAACCTTTTAAGTATCATCATCCATAACATTGTTTTTCAATTTTTCTTATACTTATTACCATTAATCTTTAGCTTCCATACGATGTTTTGACATTAAACTAATTTTCTTTTACATCAATTCAGCCTACGATAACTTATAACGATCCTAATCTACAAATGATGAAACCCATTCAGGCTTTCCCTTTTGATTCTTTTATTTCGAATACATTGATTTCAAATTAATAACTGAAAAATATTTTGCTAAACTTATTAAAATATTTTTAATCATAGTATTATCATTCCATTTTTTTATGATATTGAATCCAAACTTTGATATAATTTATATTTAATCTTTCCTCTATTTATAAAATATAATTTTCCAAATTTTTATTAGAATGAAGATATATTCTTATTTCATTTATTTAGATAATTGTTAATACGATTTTTTAGTGTATTATTGTATTGCAAAATTAATATAATCAAAGAATATATAGTTATCAATTTGATAGAGTGAATATTATATATTATATTTATAATCAGTATTCAAATAATTTTAATATATGGGTTTTATAGTATAATATACACTATTTTATCATCCTAAGTAAAACTAATTGTTATTTATTGAGATTTGATGTTGATTAATTTATATCATAAGATAAAATTAAGTATTGAATATGTGATTAATTTTTATACCTATAATAAAAATATCTATTTAATTTAGATTTTTACATATATTTTCAATTAGATGTTACAAATTTATTATTTTTTTTTAATTTGTTGTTTAATATAATTAAACAAAATGTCTTTTAATTAATTAATCATTTAGTCAAGATATCACAATTATTCTATTAGTAAAAGTTTATTTTTATTTTACCAATTTATATTCAATATCATTCATATAATTCCTTAATAATTATGTCTTATTAATCTTCTTATGAATTTTCATTACTTTTTTGTGTATCTGGATTTCAAATAAAAATAATGAATTTTCAGTTTTTAATTGAAATTCTGTATCTATAATTAAATAATTATTAATTTCTAAATTGTTGAGTGAAGTTTTAGAAAAGTTCGAATGAAATTTAAAAGCTAAAAAAACAGATTAGTCTATCAGTTAAATTTATCAAATTATTAATGATAGATTATTGAAAAAATTATTATTTCTATATTTATACACTTTTATTATCATAATTTGTAAATTATAATATAAAATTTATAACAAATATATGTTATTTTATCCAAAATTAAATGGAAATTAAATATTAATTATCATAATTCTAAACTTTTAGATGGAAATATATAATGAATCACAAGCAAGAGTTCAAATAATAAAATAAAAATTATGATTTTATTAAATAAACAAAAATTTTCACTATATTTCTATTTAAATGGGTTTTTATTTTTTCTTTTTATTTGATTTTATGCAAACAAGAGGTTTAGATAAAAAATATTATGTTATTAAAAATTTAGTCTATTGTTACTAATTAGGATTTGGAGTTTCTGATTTTTATTATTAAATAGTTCTAAATTGAGAAAGTGATATAGATTTATGGATTTAGCCATCTAAATTAGATTTAAGTTTCCTTGAAGTTAAACAAGCAGGTATTCTTTTTTTTTCTGACATAAAATGTTAAGTTTTTTCTAATCTTAATGGTAATTAAAATCGAAAAGGAGAGATATGCATTTACTAATCTAAATATGAATCCATTTTAACTTAAGGGCTTTAGACTGATTTTCTTATTGTTTCTATTGTATCGTAATTCATCTCAGTTTTTAGTTATTTTGATATACTAAGAGAACTCTCTTTATATTTAGAAACTGATTTTTATGAAGATCGACAAATTTTTCTTGCTTTTTACACAAAATCATCAAAAATGCTAAAATCATTTGGTTTTGGTTATAAGAATATTTTGCTTTAGTAATTGTTGTTTAACATTTGATAAAATTAATATATATTGAATTTAGTATTAATAATATTCTCTTTTTAAATTAATAAAAGGTATCAGAAGAGATAATGTCTTACAAGTATCTAGTAATATTCTTCAAATAAGTTAATTAAGTAGATTGAGATATATCAATGAATATTTAAAATAAGAATATTTTGGAATAGAATTTTTATGATAATTTATGTAGATAATATCATGAGGTAAAGTCCAAATGGTTATTAAATTTTTATTAAGTTTGTAATTGTTAATTTTATAAGAAATAGAATAATACTAACTCTTTAGTATTTTTGCTGACTGATAAATTATGTAAAAATATATATATTGGTAATTTTCGAAGATTAAAAGAATCTTCCTTTTTCTTATTTAAGTTTTAAGTAATTATATAAAATTATTCATTTACAAGGTAATAAATTAGTCTTCTATGTTATATAAATGAATTAGGAGTAAAGTATGAATTCAAATAATAATTTTTTGAGTTGAATATCCTTTAACTGAGTTTTTAATTCAATTCTTAATAAATATAATTTATTTTGGAATTATCATAACACCTAAGATGTAGCAGTAAACATAATCATAATTTACTTAAGTTAATTTGCATGTCCATGTACATATTGTAAGAACAAAAAAGAACAATAATAACCATCTGTTCATGATTGTAATTAAATAGAAAGAGAAAATGAAATATTGAAAGGTGAAATCGCAAAGCTTTAATCTTTTGCTAATTCTAAAGGTAAAATATGAATAATTATATAATTATAGTCCCTGAATTCTAGTAATTGCTTAGAGATAATTAATAGATGAAAAAAACATTAGATTAAATGAATTAATAGATAAAGGAATATGAAGAAGAAATTTAGAGATAAAAACAAGTTATTGATAGATTAAATTTTGATTTAGACAAATAAAAAAGAGACAATGAATAATTATTATAAGCTTTGAATGATATCAAACAAAGAGGATTATCATAGGAACAATCTATTTTATAAGATAATCAAAGAATGAAATCTACAATTGATTCATTGAATAATGATTTAAGAAGTTTACAATAAGAAATTTATAGATTAAAATCAATTAATGATAAATCTAGATATATCTAAGATGAATCAAACCGTTATTAATAAGAAAATTAAGCTAATTTAGCAAGAATTAGATAATTAGAGATGTAGATTAGAGATTTGATGTCTAAAGAAGAGAGTTATCAACTCTAAATAACTAGAGCAACATAAGGAACAAATTAAGAAAATTAATTATTGAAGGATCAAATAGCTTAATTAAATTAATAATTGCATATGATGTAAAAATAATATTAGAAATAATTGGATGATGTAAGATAGGATTAGGATAGAATGATTGCAGAATAAAGAAGCACAATAAATATATAAATAAAAGATTAATTATAAAGAGATTAATAAAAATGGATGGATGAAAGAGAGGCTTTGCTTCATGAAATTTAATTATTGAAATAGTAATTGGCTTAGAATGAATTACAAGTTACAAGAAAAAGATAATTATTGGAAGATGAAGCTAATAAGAATTAATAATTTATTGTAGAATTAGAATAGGCAAATAGTTAACTATAAAATAAATTGAGAGATTTATAAATGTAATTATAATAGTCAGAGAAGGATAGAATGAGAACTGAATAATATGTTAGAAAAATTGATGAATTATAATTGTAAGTTGAATAATTACAAAGATAATTATATGAATTAACTAATAAATATAATAATTTATTGAATCAATATGAATAAAAGAAATATTAAATTGATTAATTAAATGGATAATTGAATGCAAATTAGGATAATGAAAAGTAAAAGATTATGAATTTGGAAAGATAAATTAGAGAATTATAAGATTAATTAGCAGATATGTAGAGATTAAGATAATAATTACAATAGATGAATGAAAATTATACTGCTTTATAAATTACTTTTAAGAATTCATAAAAATAATTATCAGAAGCAGATGAATTGAGATAAGAATTAGATGCTTTATTATAAGAATTAGAATATTATAAATAATAAGATATGAAAAATAAATAAGATTTAGATAAATATAAATAATAATTGATAATAATTGAGAATAAATAAAGTTAATAAGCTAATTATGAAATTGAAAAATTTAGATAATAAAATTAATAATTAATTGATGAATTAAATGAATTAAAGAATAGAAATAAATCATTAGAAAGTAAATTATAATAATAAATTGTTATTATTAATTAAGCTTAAAATGATTTATAAGCTCATTAAGCATTAAATGAGAAATAATAATATGCTTTGAATGAAAGTAATTAATTAAGAGCTAAGATAAAGGAACTTTTAGATTAAATTCAATATTTAGAAATGGAATTAAATAAAAAAGATAATCTTATTTAAGATTTATAAATAAGTTTGGATTAATTTGGTAAATAGAGAGATTCATTTATATTAATTGAAAAAGAGAAAAAAGATTTTGAATATCGTATTATTTAATTAGAGAAATAATTATCAGAATTAACTATGTATAAAACATAATTTTTTGATCTTTAAAGTAAATATAATAATTTGGGTTCAGAATATGAAAGTTTAAGAAAAGATTATGAATTAATGAGATATAAATATGATGAAATTAATAATTAATATATATAATCTAAAAAATAGATTAATATATAAATTAATAGTGAATTAGAAGTATTAAAATCAGAAATGTAAACTTGGATAATCAAATGTAAAACTTATGAAAGTGAAATTACTTTTTTGAGATCTACTATTAAAGATTATTAAGATATAGAATAAGATTCAGAAATGTTGAAATAAGATTTAGAAACATGGTAAATTAAATTTGCTGAAGCAGATAGAGAGAGAATTTAATTAAGATAAAATATTTAAGAATATGAAAAATACAAATTTAGAATTAGTGAATTTGAAAGGGAAATATAAAATTATAAGTATAAAATAGAAAGTGCAGAAAAAGAGAGAGATGGTACAAGATAATAATTAACAATATTTTAATAATAAAGAATTTAATTTGATTAAATCAAAAAGGAATATGATTCAATTTTATTTAAATTTTAAGAATTAGAAAAAGAAAATTAATAATTACGTAATGAAATTGAAAATCTAAGATAATAATTAAATACATATTAATAATACAAATAATAATTAATATTATTGGAATAAGAAAAATCATAATTATTATATAAAATTGAAGAATTTGATAGAGAAAGACAATTATTAAAATAATAGATTTCAGGTACAAATAATATTAAAATGGAATCTGAGAGTTTAAGAAGAGAATATGAAAT